AGGGTATCCAGCTCGAAAAGTACCCGAGACAAGCTAGCCGAGTGAAACGGGCTCGAGAAATCACAAAGTGGAGTTTCTGGGAGCTTAGCGCCGTTAAGGAGGCTTACCGTCGCTATGCCTAGTTCCTTAGCGGCACTATCAAATGTTAACGAAGCCAGAGGCTGAAGGCATTCAGGCCTTAGCGGCGCTAAGGGGGGTGAGCGCCGCTAACCCAGCCTCCATAGCGGCGCTATGGAGGGTTAGCGTTCGTGATTCAATTATAATTATTTTTTTTTATGAATTGCACGTGATTCAATTATAATTAATTTTTTTTTTTTCAAGTTGAATTAAAGACATTTGCGTGAAAATGGAACATTGACTATTTCTTACCATTTTAAATTAAGTCAAACAATCTTCCCCTCAAAATCTACACTAAGGTAATTGTACTAATGTAATTACTAATTACCAAACAATAATGTTGGCAAAAATAGACACTCATAATTAGGTATAGTATTTTGAATAAGTAATACCAAAAATATTTGAAACAATCAGGACCATCAATATTAATATAATTAATGGCTACGATTGGTTCTTAGTTTTTACACTCACATAGAGTTCTCATTTGAACTCTTTCCTATATATACATGTGGGATGGTTCAAATAAAAATTAGTCCTGGTATGAGAACCGCGAGAACCATATTTGATGCTATTAGATGATGTCATCATTTTCACAAATACTAATATAAATTATGTTGCTATATTTAATAAAATCCATCCTAATTAAAAATAACACCCAATACAATCAATCATAGCACTACACGCATTTAAAAATAGCGGTTCTCACAATAAGATTTAGTTTTCATTCGAACCACATCCTATATATATAATCTTCTTTCACATCTGGTAGATATAAATTTTAAATAATTTTTTGCTCATCTTTAAATACATTATATTAAAATTAAAAAAATACATTGCAATTTTATCATAACATGATCCACATTACAAAATGGATTTGGGTATCTACGTGACATAATTTTTTAGTGCGATCAGTCCAAGTCACTAACATTTTTTTGGCCCCTTCAATTCTCCGTATCTTCCTAAGAATCTCAACAAATTAGCCAATTGAAATAATGTACATAGTAAGGCAACAACATGGCTCATTTCAAATGTCCACAAAGCACCACTTTATGCTCCAATTTCAAAGCACACGAGTTCAATTCTTTTGACTTTGGGTACCCAACTAACTAAATAAAATCTTGTACCACGTCTGAAGAATCTCAGGCATCATTTATGGTTGAAAAAAAATGCTTTTAATGATGATTCACGTTTGTTGGGAAACATAATATATCGTTTAAATCACTTGAGTTTTGGCTACTAACTAAGGTTCACAGGCACCAAATGTTCCTATAATTACCCACATCATAATTCCCCGTGACAAAATCATGTTTCTTTTGGATCCAAACAATTAACAATGCACGGCCTATTTAGGGCTAAAAATTAATAGAGTCCAATGCATTATATATATTTTGACACTTCTCAACTATTGTATATATAATTTTGCTTTATCTGATACCAACTTGCCTAAGATCACGAGATGCGTAGACGCAACAATTTTTCCCTTTTTTTTTTTTTCATAATTACAATCGGACGTATATATTTTTCAATCGAAAGACATGTGACTCTATTTTTTGAGTGTCTTAGACATATTTAATTGGTTCGAATTTAAAATATATGGCACTGACTCTTGCCTTTTGCTCTTTCTATTCTATGTTATATTTCAATGCACTCTTAAAAATGTTACGGAACCAATATATTACTACATAAAGATATTATTCATGGTATACAAACTCTTGTTAAACCGTATGATATATGTTCATGTTTCATAGCAGAATTTAGAAAAAGAAAATGTTTGGATAAAGAAAAAGTAAAATTTTTAATTTTTTCTTTTTTTTAAGTCAAACAACACTAGAAAAGAAAAAAAAAATGAGTTAAAACGTGGGTAGGAACAAATTAGAAAAAGAAGTGAAAAGTATCCTAAAAAATAATGTTTAAAAGTTCGGACAAATTTGTCTCTACTCACGCAAGTGATGAAATTAGTCAAAAGCTTCTTCGCCTGTTGGAGCTTTGACTTCGCCAGAGGAGAAATTTCGTCCTCCACGCTTACACTCATAGTTAAACAGAAATTTCCAATCGATCTAAGTGCATTTAAATAATTTCAGCTGAACTTGAATCCACCCACCCATAGACTACTATATACAAATATTGCAGCATAAAAATAATAAAATTCTCGCATCCAAGTAATGTTCAATGAATAATCAAATATTAGAACATCAAATGTAGAACTTTAAATAAGCTCGTAACTGAGTCAAAACTCAAATCCGGGTTTTGGCAATTTATAATGGGCGAGAACTTGATAAATTTTCTAAATGACGTATGGTAAATTCATGTAGCAAAATTTACATTAAAGTTCAATAAATGGCCATTTATTTATTTGACTCTTTTACATTTAGTCATAAATTGATCATATTGTAACAACAAAATTTGAAAAACATGATATTTTTGTACAATTTAATTTTATTTCGATCAAACGATCTTGATGGCACAATCTCTATATGTCTCATCTGATTCTTCTCTTCGTGGACTTCGATTTGATCTTCAAACCGATTTGACATTTGATTTTTTCTGGGCTTGAACTTGAATTACTTAACATTAATTTTGGGGGTCAAATGACTTATTTTCGTATTAAATGCTAGGACTTAATTGATTGAAAACAGACTTATTGGAGGACATGCTTCTTCAGTCTTCCTACTACATGTAGATTTTGGCTTGAATAACGTTGACTCAAGGGCTTGATAGTTTTTTCTCGGATCAAACGCTATGTTGCTTGAATTTCTCGACGAACACTGCTTGAATGCATTTTGTACGTCGTTGATATTCTTAGATTGATTTGAGAGAAGTGGATGAAGCCTCTTTACTTACTTGAGAAAAACCGTAAGCTCTTTCTTTTTTCTTCTTCTTGTTCTTCTTATCAATTGAGCGACTTCGGAGGTTAGGAGGCTTGATCAAATTGCCACCTCTTTTTTTCTTCTTGTTCTTCTTATCCATTGAGTGTACCTCTTTCGATCTTCAAGAATGTCTTCAAACCTTCAAGAGAGTTCTTGAGAACTCTTGAATTGAAACTTTGATTTATGAGGTCTTGATTTATGAGGTGTGATTTGTGGCTTTGAGAGAGTTATTATTTATATGTGTAGGAGAGAGAGCCTTGGAGAAGAAGACATCAATTTGGTTAGTCCTCCATTATTTGATATAATTTATTATTTCCTTATCCTAAGATTTTTCTTTATCTTAAGATTTTGACTTGGTGGGCAAAAAATATTTATTTTATTAATAAATATCTTATTTATTTCGGATTTATGTCCAAAAATAAATAAAGATACTAATCAATAAAATATTAAAATTTCAATGTCTACACATAAACTTAAAATATAATGTAATTTAAAACTCAAAAGACAAAAATAAACCACTAACCATTCCATTCAGTAAAAGTTAATATATTTGGAATTAAAATGAAAAACTTCATAAATGTACAAGATTTGAAGGTAAACGGTGTAACATTCTCTATTTATTTTCTAGTAACCAGTGATGCATTGTTAGTGCTAATGACCTGGTGTTTAAAAATTTTAATTAGAGGACAAATATTATCCAAGGATCAAGACACTCAAGCCCAAGATGAGAAGATAAGGCCCACTAGACTAAAGCAGTAATTTGCTTTCCAGATTCCATACATGCTCGAAACGTGGATTCGTGATGTTAAAATATCAGATAAATTAATATATACTACAATCTTTGAATCATTTTTCATAAATATAATATTTTTAAAAATATTACACATAAAAAAAAATGATACATTTTTATTATAAGTTTATTAACTTCTGTTTCTTTTAAGTTTATGTTTAGTTTTTTTGTAATTTATACATTTTTACATTATCATATGTCGTTATATGGTTAAAATTTTTTTGTTTATATATCAAACATAAAAGTGTAGTAACAAACGTATAAGATTAAAACTTTTCAGTATCTGATCAAATCGAATCTAGGACTCAGAATTAAGACCCAAAACCAGGGTCATGGCCATGACCCTCTTCTCCGCCATGGTCTTCTTCAAGCTCAGATCGAAACTTCTCGGCCTCACAGGCCATCGCCACCATGTGCTTCTCCATAGCTCGGCCGATCTGGAAGTTGGTCGTGTATATCTGAAGCTCGCGCTCGATCCCCTCCCTTCCTGATCCAGCAAAGCATGTGATGGAAGAATCAAAAGAACAGAGAACAGTTTATTTCTTCTTTTGTTCAATTCATCATAATCGTCCCCCATGATACACATCAGTCGTTTTAAATACTACAAAATATCATAACCAACAATATTTAAAAAGTCAAAACACAACAAACCTAATACAACATAAATATAAACACAACAAGCTCAGTACAACATAGATATAAATTGATAATAATAAGAAATGAAATAACATTAAACTAATGAGACGAGTCGATCATATTTGTCGAGATATGCTAATGCAAACTCGTCGGCATCACTTCCTCCTTGGATCCCCCTTTGGCGCCGCCTCAATCTCGAACCTGAGCTCCGACATCTGTTGTCGGAGTTCGAACTGGGCCGTAGAGATCTCTCCCTCGACTCTCCTCAGATTTTTCAATCAATCATTGCACTCGACCCGAAGCTCCTCGATTGAGGGCGACATGGGCAACGGTTGTCGTCCTGTGTCGTTGGCGGCAATGCGGGTCAAGATGGGATGTCTATGGGTGTGAGGCAGCAAATGGGGTAGATGGGCTTCATTGATTTTCTCTATGGACTTAGAAGCTAGGTCTCTTTAGGATGTTGGTACAATTGTAAATAAAATTTAAGATTTTTGTACAATTGCAAAATAAAAATCAAGATTAATTTATGTGCAATTATTTAAGAAGAGTCTCAGTATATGTGTAAAAGACATCAAAAGATAATGTTAGGCTATGTCTCAAAAACTCGATCATTTGATATTAGCAAAAGCTGACAAAGTCCATCAAGGGAGCAAGGGTGAAAAACTCCGTACAGATACACAATCTCTCTATACAAAAGTCATTCTAATAACAAACATTTCCAGCCCGTGACCAAGAAACTTGAAAATACTGAAAATAACAAAGAAATTTAGTCATCTTACAAAGAGCAGCCAAGTAATTATTTGGTCAAGCCAAACTCATAAAAATACGAGTTGAAAAGGGGAAAAAAAGGTATAGAAATGTAGACAAAATGATACACGTGCACCGAAACCCCAAAATCATTCCAATGTAGTTTTTCCGCTGCATGAACCAGACTCCAAGTCCTTCAGCTTCATAGAGGGTTTCTTATAATTTTGTTCATTCTTATTCCTTGGTTGAACCACAATTACTCAAATCGGTTGGTCATCTTGTTTTGACGAATGAATATTATGACCATGTAGCAATTATGACTGCGCGAAACTTCCGAAACCACCACCACACCTCTATGCACAAATATGAAAAGAAAAATGTGAAATACTTCTACCTGATATGCGGCACTTGAGAAAAAACTGGTATACTCAGAGACCCGTCACTTTACTAGTGGAGTCGTAAACTCAAAACTCATTGAGCCTGCAGAAAAATGCACGTACGTAAGAAAAGGAAAGAAAAGAAGCAGTAAAATCATTCGGATCATATTTGCAAGACAAATAATACTTACGTTTATCTCCCTGGAGACGCAAGCCTTAGTCGATCTTTTTGTCGACTCAAAATCCTCTCTTTAGGAGATGATGTTTTAGCTGCACCTGCTTGGCGCATGAGCTCTGCCAGTATACAAATTTTGTCAAGGTCTGGACTAAACTTGCAAACTCAATGGCACAGGGAACAATATATGAATACAGGTCTGGAAAATCAAACACCAGCAATGGATGAGATTGTCATGACTACAAATACACAACCAAAATTTTTTTACTTTGAGATTGTCAAGACTACAAATCAAAATTTTTTACTTTGGTTTCCTTGGATAGCCACCATTTTTTATAAGAGTTTTGGTATATGATTTTTGCTTCAAAATAATTGAATTCTGAGGAAAAGTTGCATTCTTTGATCTGAGAAAGCTTCCAGAGCACAATGTCATCATGAAGACAGATAAATAGCAATTTTAACAAATATGCATGTCATCAAACACAACTTGCCTCTAGTCCTTTCAAGTTCTTCATCAAGTTCTTCTTTCCATTTCCTCTGTATCTCGGAGAACTTGCTGCTAGAGTGGGAAACATGTTCCATAACATCGAGTTAGGATAAAATGCTAACAAAAATTAATGGCACAGAAGAGATTTTCGCATACCTGGGAGTAAGTGGCTCTTGTTGATAATCAAGAGGCATCTCTTTAGTGTCCTCAGAAGCTCGGAAATTTACATCACCAATATTTGATACACGTCTTACAGGACTTGAGGTGTACTCAACATCAACAACAGCAGTGGAAAATCTTCTATTGCCCATCTTGTTTGGGGATCTACTTTTAGGAGGTAAGTTGCAGTTACTCGAAATGTTTTCCTTGTTGCCAATACCCACAGAGCTTACACTACGAGTGACATTCAAGGAATTGTAGAACTCATAAAGAGGGGTTTGGAGCTTCTTCAGTTCCACAGCCTGCACATATGGCAGCATTGAAAATCATATTAAACAAAATATGGAAGCTATATAAATTGCTAGAGAAGGATGCAAAAGATTCAACATAGAATAAGTTATTTGGATAGTTGGCAACCTTTTCATCCAGGAATGCCCTAATCTTTGATTCTGTTACTTCATCATCGTCTTCATGAAGCAACTGATCTCTTGGAAATGTAAAGCCACAATCCACATCAGCGGGTGCTATAGATCCATTTACAGGTTCATCAATCTGACTCGAGAGAAGTGTGATTCCACTTTTAGTCAATTCAGGACTTTCATCGAACTTGCATGGCAAGTCATCATTAGGCTCGCTCATAGGATTAAAACTCTACAAGAAGAACACCAATCAGAAGTTCAAGTTAGAAATATAGCCTTCTACCACTGAAAATATCCAGTCACCACGAGCAGCGTATTTGACATTACAACAGATTTTCGTTTTAACCTGATTACATTCAGCAGAAAGAAGAGTATGCTTGAATTTTGTGGATGCACAAAGCACAAGATCATCACTGTCATCAATTATACACATATCATCATCGTCATCAAAATTAGCGGGCTGCCATAGAGATTCTCGTCCTGAAAGCTGTTCAGGACGAATGGTGGAACAACTGGGACCACCCAATTCACTGAAATCTTTAAGTCCCTTGCATGAGCTTCTTGCATCTAGGTTCAGTCTGCAGCATGAATATATTCTCAAATTTTATGGCAGCTCAGACAAATAGTGATCCAAGAAAACCATAAGATTTATCCGAGTAAATTCTGAAGAAGCACTTACGATTTTTTCATATCCTGCCCATGTGCTACCATCCGCTTTCCAGAACTGTCCTGTTGATCCAAGTATCAAGTTATTAGTGAATAATGTACATGATCGTATTGGACCACGAAATAAGTATCATGAAACAAGCATCTTCTAACCACAAGTGAAGATCGGAGTACGAGGTGGGATTTCCGACATTCTTCAGTCACAAACGGATGCTGAAAACAAGCGAATGGTAAACAGCATAAGTAAAGAATCACATCATATGAACCCAACAATGGGATTTATTTTTTAATAAATTGTGTAGTGGCACCACAGCATGAAATGCCGCCATACTAATAATTTTAAGAACCATGTATGTGAAGCACAAAGAAAGCCTAACTAATGTCTTGGTGGAACTACTACCTTTAACAACTCTGATGCAGTAGGCCTCAGGTCCGGCTCCCTGCAAAAATCATGTGAAATTAGATATGGAGAATCAAGTGAGTCGTGAACTAAATCAAAGGAAGTATCCAGTAACCAATATAATTTCATTCATAACAACACCTGCCTGAAAGAGCAGTTTCATAAAAAATAAATAGTGGATATAAGGAAAATGTAAATGCAAACATGGGCAAACATACTTTTGCAAGCATTTTAACAGGAATTCTTTTGCCTCAACCGAAAGATGTTCAGGTATTGGAGGGTGAGATTTGGTAGTTCCAACATAAAACAGAGCAGCAACCTAAATGATAGCAGCTGTCAGTATTTGGAATTTATCAATGACACCACAGACAAAAAATAGAAAAAAGAAGAAAAAAAAAAAAAAGCACGTAAAAAGTACAATTCAGTTGAAACGGTAAATTATACAACCTCCTGATACTGCTGGCTCCAAGGAGCCTTCCCAGTAGCCATTTCAATAACAGTGCATCCTACGCTCCATATATCTGCTGAGCTGTAGGATTTCGTTCATGAATGTAAGTATAAATCTATATTGGATCGAAACAACAGACAAGTAGGTAGTGCTAACACCACCAGCTATAGTTAAAACTGAGCTATTTTCTGTTTGTTTCCTGTTATCTATTTTTCCAACTTACTAGCTGTGACCACTCTGAACAATAACTTCAGGAGCCATCCAATAAGGTGTGCCCTTCATTGATTTGGCACCAGTTATGGTGGCCTGCAACAACAGATCCGCAGTAATGATTACAAGGCCTGTTGAGCAAAATGGAGAAGGTAACTAACCAGAAAAGGTACAAAAGAAAGAGAGACTTACCAATGCTTCAACTTTCTTGGATGCTCCAAAGTCAGCAAGCTTAATGCAGCCTTTATTGTCAACAAGAATATTTGCTCCCTGACAAGAATCCAGAAACTCATCTTCAGAAATTGAGCCAGTAAGCACTTTAAAGCACAATGTACACATGTGCAGACAAATACAAATGTATATATATGTGTATATATAAATATATATATATATATATATATATATATATATATATATGTACACATGTGCAGAAACAAGAATACCTTTATGTCTCTGTGCATAATTTTGTTCTTATGCAGGTACTCCAATCCTAATAATAATTGTTTTGTGTACATTCTTATAACCTGAAATACATTCAGACAAAATAATAGAGTACACTAGAATAAGTTATTAAACTATGGGAAGGATCCACAAATATTTCAAAATCAGTACCTATGCTAAAGAGAACATGCTAAAAAGTGAGGTAAGGAAATTGACATATTATAATGCTGAAGCATATAACATCTAGAAGCTGATCGCAGATAGCAAGATAGGCACCATCATAGAGGTAGAGGAGGAATTACTGAATTAGGATTTCTGCTCCAATGTAACTAATTTCCAATATTGGTGCAGATATTTAAGTAATAAGTTTCGAGGGACTTTTGTATGATCATGATATGATGGTAAGGGTAATCAACTCACAGATTCTGGAAAGGACCCAAACTTTCCCAAAAGCGACGAAATTGATCCACCTGGCACAAATTCCAGTAATATATTCAGGGAATCCTCCTCCCTGGCAGTTCCCAAGTACCTCTGCCAAACAAAAAAAAAAAAGTAATTGAATGAGAGATTGCAGCATGGCCCCTCACACAAACTGGCTGGTTGAACTGAAATTTAACTTGTCTCACCACAATATTTGGGTGTGACAGATTTTTCAAGAGGTTCACTTCCTTTTCAAGCTCCCCAATGTATTCCTGAAAAATCCACGCTCCATTAAAATGGAACTTTTGTTGATACTACAAACAAATTATTTAGCTAAAAAATAAGTCAAGTGGCTGAACATTAAATATTTCATTCCATTACAATAAACTGGAAAATATACAATTTTTGCAGATAAGCAAACTGAAAGCTCATTCACAGAGGGATCAAATAAACAGAACAAGCATGCTATACATAAAAAGAAGCTCGAGACAGTGCCATTACTTGTGTTTTCTTTGAAGAATTATTCGCCGCAATAGAAACCTGTTCTCAGAAGAAAATAGAAGCACACAGATGTCAATCAATTATATCCTCATGTGAACGAAGTCAATTTAACACATTGATGATACTAACCTCTTTGACTGCAAGCAATTCTCCTGAATCGAGGTTCATCCCCATGTGAACCCTCCCAAATGCTCCGCACCCGATCAATTCTCCTTTCCTCCACCGGATCGGAGGTGGCAGGGAAACCTCCTTCTTCATCTTTGGCTCTTCCTCTTTGACCGCTCTCGAGTTCAGCATTACGCCAGCCCTCTCCCTTTTAAATCGTGGTTCATCTTCCGATGTTCCTTCCATCGGTGGTAATGCCTCCTCCTCCATTGGTGGCGGCGGCGCCCTAACTGTACCCCGCTGTGGAGTGGAAATCGGCGGCAGCGCGTGAACAGGAGGCTTGGAGAATATTCCGATTCGCGATTTCCTGATGCTGGACCCGATTTTCTCAACGAATCCCCCAAATCCGGCGGGATCTTCACCTGAAGGCTTGAAAACGAGAGATCGGCGGACGGAGCCTATGAAATCTTGCATGGCCGGAGATATGTGAAGTGTAATTTTAGGGAAAGCAATTTGAGGGTGATGAGGATAGAGAGAGGAAGTCCCAATGGCAGTAAGCAGAGAGTGGACTCTTAAGAGGGAAAACGAAGGTTTGAAAAATGAAACGATGGAAGGTGAACTGCATTATTCCAATTTTGCCCTAATGAAATTTCAAAAGCATATGAGGATTTAGCCGTTAGGATGTGAACAGGCGCAGCATTGTCGACGTATTTCATAATCTATGACTAGATCCTGCGAATGGTCTTGGTGGGCTTAGGTCCAGCCCAACTTCCAGAAAGGACGCACTGTATCCAAGCCCAAAGGGGAAATTATGCAAATAAATTATCTTAAACAATAGTCTATAAAAATACTAGCCGCAAAAACCATCTATCTACTATATAATTAAGCAACACAATTGGGATCGTCTATGGTCAGATACCCCTCGTACCTACGTAACATCAGATACCCCCTTATATGACCATTAGATTGATTAAAAAATCAATATCAACCATTAGATCAAGGTACGAGGTTGGTACAAGGCAACCAAAATTCTTTTTGCCTCGTACCAACCTCGTACCCACTTCTATTTGTAAAAAACCTATAATACCCTTATGTCATTAAAAATTAAAAAAAAATATAAAATTATAATTGTATTTATTTTAAGCCCTTACATGTATATATTATTTATATAACAATCCTTCATATACAAATAATATATCATCACAACCTTAACATTTATCAAAATAATTTTCCAACACAGTTGTTCTTCGACATTTTTTTTTTCTCATCTGCCTCCTCTGTTCGTCGTTGAATCGAAGAACGTTACCAATCTACATATCTATATGTTCAAACGATTCGCGATGGTCAATCTGACAATACCCATATATATGGCAAATCAGACATTACCGATTCATTTGTTTGCCGAGATACTTTGAATCCAGGTACATTTCGAATGCCGATTGTGTCTCCGTGATTTGTTACTCGAAATTTAAAGACAATCGACAATGTTTGTATAGATATCTGAAATTAAATTCATGGTTCTGAAATGTATTGTCTGATGTTGTTATTCAACTCAAGATTGTTGACCTTTAACTCGTTTTTTGATACTAAATGTAGGTTAAATGGTTTAGGCTGCAAATATTTGTATTCTTGTAATTGATTCTTTTGAATAATGTCCTGATGTGATGAGGTGAATTTGTTAAACGAGGATACATTGTACTTTTGGTGAATCCTTAATAAGAACATTACATGTTTGATGAAACGATTCAATAATGTTTTTGAGTGTGTTATTTCGATGTTAATGTCCAGTAGATGTATCTGTAATTTAGGCAAGGAAAAAGAAAAAGAAGAAAGACATAAACCATGGATGTTTTTCAATTGCCTAAGACAAAATGGGGTCACTTTAATTACATTAGCCAAGGATCGAAAGGTGAAAACAATGTATCGAAGATATATTCTGTTTGGTGTTATGACGTTTCTCGTATTTGAACGCATGGACCATGAGTGGTAGATCTATCTTGCCTTTCGACGAATCCATGCCACCTTTGTGGATGACATATTGAATCTGAAGGAATCAAACCTTCGCTTCTGTTTGAAGCAAACATGGCAGATGTACAATCTACTGAAAGAACGATATCGAACAATGAAGTGGCTGTTGGAGCATGAGGATGTCTTTCAAGACCCTTACAATTTTACCATGGATGTACCTTTTTGGGTTGAAGATGTTGCCAGTGAGGTAACGAAATGAAAAATTGGGTTGTCATCTTCTGTGTATCAGAAAACATTCTAGTGTCATCTAACAATTTATTGTTGCATTTATTCCATTGTGCAGGATTATCTATTAGTTCGACAGACCTGATCCGAAGTGGGAGTCACTTGTGGCGATCTTCCTACCATTAGGATACTTGTTGGAGTATCCTAATGTAGTGAAGCATAAAAAAGAACCCTAATGACAACTATTCCGATTCCGATACAACAATAACAGAATCTTGGTCACAGTAACGTGTATGGTTTTCAGGATTATCTTCGTCATCATTAGATCAATATAATGTTGTGTATATTTTGTATTATGTTACCTTGGAAGTATGAATTCTAGTGGCTTTTTTAACTTGTGTACATTTTTGTTATATGAAACTTGTTAGTTGCTTTGGAAGTATGTATTCGGATGGTTTTTTTGACTTGTGCACAATTTGTCATTGCAAAAACTTTATTCATTTCTCCAGTTGTTCAATAACAGCGATAACAACAACTTATACTTTCCTACTTAAATTGTTCAACCATCTGACCATCTTCAACAAAACAACAAAAAAGAAATGTATGTTCTAACATCCACACATCCTGAATTAAATTACATTGTTCAAAAATCTACGTCAAACACCAAATCATCATGCTGAACTTCTACTTTCCTAAAAATTATATTTCTTCCCTGAACTATCTTACCATATTGGATGAAATACTTCAGCCCTGTGAAGATGTGTTTGTTGCCTTTCTTCTTCACTTCGACGATCCACTAGTTGCCCCCATGACGAATACGAGCAGATTGGACTTCATCATATTTGCACATCAACACTTGATTCCAGTATGTAGATGGAATTGTCTGTGTGATAATGCATTTTTAAAAGTATTTATTACTAATTGAACAATATTTTTAAGAACAATACATGTAAGAAATGTAAGGGTAGAATAATAAAAATTAGATACTTGCAAGTACATATATTTTACATGCCGGCCACGGGTAACAAGAGTGACGGAAGCCTGTATACGAAACCCACCAACATCAGGTTCCTCTTCCATCCCATCCACTGCCTCATCATCTAGATTGCACGGTCCCAAAGCAGTTCGAAGGGCTCTCCGAGAACATGTAAGGTCAAAATGGTTGACAATGAACCTGTTTGGGCATGTCGATTGTACTCTATTTGAGTTTTATAGTCATTAAAATAATTACCGTTTGACACCAAAAAATCATAGAACCTGTCTGGGCCTCCAAGTTCGAAAAATAGAATGTGATGGCTTCCAACAACATTTTCCCTCGCAAAGTCCTCCCATCCATCGGCAAACCCAATCTTCGTTCCAAGCCGCATAATTACGACCGGCCAACTGAATGCATCATCCCCTTCACTGTTATGTAAGGTGCATTCAATTGGAAGCAAATGTTCGATAGTGTGGCTAATCATAGGGGGGATAGCCTAAGAAAAATGCCGATGTCATGTTAGATACACAATTCCTTTATAAACAAATACAAGTATAATATTTAGGTAATAAAAGACAAGCTGTAGTTAGTAAAAATATATAACTGATAGTGTACACATATCAACAGATCTTAGATAAATGAAGCACGAAACATAACTCTTACCAGATGATTCGGGCTGTTGGGAAATCTGTTAATTAACATAAATCTGTTAACTTCTAACAATTTCGGGCCACTGCGGTCAGACTCTTCGGGCACATGATACCGGCTAATTAACCGATTCTTCTGTGTCCAGCTATTATCAAAATGGTAAAACTCAAAGTTGTTTGATATCCCATTTTCTTCCAGAATGTAGAAAGTCGCTATGAAATGTACATTTGATGGGCAGAAGCCCCTCAAAGTATCGATCCACTGCAGTGGGAAGAGCCTAGTATTCACAATATTAATATCAGTAAAATCTATGTAAACAAAAAATTAGGGTAAGAAAATGTAGGGTTTTAAATAACAAATTACACAAAATACACTAAAATATTTACCAGAAACTCCGCGTTTTGGTCAATAATGACTTTGATAAATGTATTCACTTCTGAAATTGTAATTGACATTATCCGAACAGTTGATCTTCAGCCGTTTCTGTCGGAAAATGATAGAGAAGAAGCGATAAAGAAGTCGTGTTGTCGAGCGAGATATGTATATGGTGTTCTTGTCAATGAGAGAACCGGCCAATTTGAGTCAATCGGTGCCAATGTTTTGGGCCCTTCAAAAGAAGGCCCACTTGGAATTAAAAATTTTAAGGATGTTAGGGTTTTGCAATTAAGATTTGATGAAGTTGTTATGTCAATTGTGACAATAAAAAATTGCTTTTAAATATAGCTAGTTGGGCTGTGGTATTAATCTCACCGGTTAATGAATTTGTCCACATTTTCTTATAATCAACTTGTTTAATCACTAATCTCATAGGTTAATCATTTATTGAACCTTTTTTATAATGTGTTCATATATTATATGCACATATAAAAATGAACTTTTGTACCCAAAAAAAAAAAAAACAACTTTGTCCCTCGTCTNCCTTACACAATACATTAAAAACATTCAATGAGTTGAAGTCCATTTCTACTGAGTTCCTAATGGGAAGCAAAAGTCCTCGTCAATTCCACGTCCACCTTGAGACTGTGACAGTTGGCCACTCGGTTTATTTGATTGACAGGTAGTCGTTTTGTGCCCGAGTTCACTGCAAATTAGAAGTCCAGTGTCATATAATAAAAAACACATCAAACACATTAACTATCCCATTCAGTTAAAATAACCAATTTCAAATGTAAGTTAATAACACATACCCGCATGATTTGCACTTTTGCTTTTTTGCTGGTAGTGCCCCTCTAGACCTAGCCTTAGGTGGGTCGCTTGAGTTTCTACACTGCTTAGAGCCTCGTACTGGATCCTTCACAACTTGTGATCCTTTATCAATATCATCAGTTGATATTACATTTTCTTTTTCTTCTTTCTCCTTAATGTTATCCGCAGCACGTTGAACTTTCTTGATACACCTTGAAGTTTCTGAATCAGTATGTGACGCCTTCATACACATGTCAACCGATTCCTTATACAGTTCGAAATACCTTTTATGTTGTGGATCAGCAGATGCAGGTATGTAGTGAAATTTTTCTCTAAGATCTTTACCCGCTAATGTTGTCCACCTGTCACATATGCATTCGGTTGACACTTTTCGAAGCTGCAAGTACTTAAAAGCAGTGATAAGATGACTGCATGGCAATCCTTCCGTTTCCAACATTTTACATGAACACTCGATCTCCCTTCACTCAAATTTATGCGGACCGCCAACTTTCTTCGGTCTGTTGAACCATATTTTTCCATCATAAAGACATGTGAGTCTCCTTTCATCTCATTCGCAAGTACAAGATTAGTCTGGTCGTTTTCTATCTCCTTACGAACTTTTGCAAAGACTGAGCGTGTATAGATTCGGGATAGTTGTACCTGAATACTGTTTAGTGGTGCTGCAAAGGCAATGTCCAGTGGGTTAATCTCCGA